TTAATAAAAATATTCATATATATATATATTTAATGTTAATATATATTTTCAGTCCATAGAAGAGATAATTCATAATATGTAGAGAAGGATCTTTTTTGTTATTGTTGTTAATCCTCACCTGAGTTATTTTTCCATTTATTTTTAGAGAGAGTGGAAGGGAGAGGGAGGGAAACATCGATGTGAGAGAGACACATCGATTGGTTGCCTCCCGCACTCAGGATGGCTAGGGCTAGAGAAAGATTTTATTTCCCAGGCAACTCAGCCAATCTAAGGCAGAAATGTATGTTGAGATCTAGTGAAAAGGCCTCATACTGTCATGTAGATGGGACTAGATTCTAACACCTGGAAAGTCACTTACTAACTGTGTGATATTGGACATGTTATTTAAGTATTCTAGGCCTCAGTTTCTTTGTTTATAAAATGCCAGTGGTGATAAATATGTCGACATTGATTGTTACGTGCCTGGCATTGTTTTAAGTGCTTTATACATATTACTGGTATTTCATATGAACTTATAGCAATGTTACATAGAAATAGCAAAACCTCTCTTATAAGGTGGCTGTTAGTACTAAGGTTGATGAGCTGTGCAAAGTCCTTGGTACACTGCAGGCATACCAAACATGTGAGGGTTTTTTGTTTTTTTCTTTTTACTATTCCATTCCTGGAGAATTCCTGAAGTGTTTTGTGTAACATTTTTGTGTCAGTCTGTATCAGAGAGATCCTCACTCAAAGTCTGGATCTGAACGTGCCTTCCCTCTCTTGACCATATCCAGGTTTTCTTCCCTTTTGTGAATCTGGGCCAGCCTTGGGCAAACTATGGCCCGCGGGCCGGATCCGGCCCGTTTGAAATGAATAAAACTAAAAAAAAAGACCGTACCCTTTTATGTAATGATGTTTACTTTGAATTTATATTAGTTCACACAAACACTCCATCCATGCTTTTGTTCCGGCCCTCCGGTCCAGTTTAAGAACCCATTGTGGCCCTCGAGTCAAAAAGTTTGCCTACCCCTGAGGGCACACACTTATCCCCTGCCTCTCTTCCATTTCTCTTCATCTAGGTTTTATTCCCTTTCCCCTCTAAAGTTTCCCATTCACTTTCTATTTATGGAATGATCTGCCTCCCGAGACTCACTGATGTGGCTTCCCGTAACCTGTGAGGGGACACTGGGGGATTTCCAGCCTCCTTGATGTAAAACACAGTGGCGGCTTTAGGATGTCAGTTTCTGCAGCCACTGGATATGTGCAATAGGATATGATATGTTTTCCTCCAACAGATCCTGTGAAGAGCTGGCCCTTAGGGCTGTGGTTTTTAAGTGGCTTGTGTTTGACTTGATTTTTCACCTTTGACAAGAGCCAGGAACTCTCACAGGATTAGTGATCAGCATAATCAGGAACAGGGTGTACAAACAAGTTCTCTTGAGCTTGGAGGGTGGAGAGGGAAGGGTAAGGGATAAAACACTACTGAAACATCTGGCAACTTTTTTTGTAAGAAGTGGAAATTGAAACACTAGGAGTAGAGGCTAAAAGCAGTGTCTTCCAGGAAAACATCTGAAAATAGTTATTTTACCCTACGTGTATGATGTCTTGTTTTCACCTGGTGATAATGCAGACATTTAGAGCAATGTCCCAAAAGAAGTCTAATTATCTCTCAGGAAAATAGGTTTGAAATATTTTTGCTCTTAAAAAAACAGAGTAAAAATCACTCTGGGATTTTTATTTTTTGGCAATGCAGATGATTCAGATTCCACATCATTTATGGCAGAATTATAACTGGAATATTTTAGAATTAACAAAAATAAACAATATACATTCATTTTCTAAATTTTTATCTTTTCAATATAAAGTTATGTATGTTTTTTCCCCCTAAACAATTAGAAAGATAGAAAGCAAAGATATAAGGTAATACCCTCATGCCTTCTTCCCACAAATTATATTGGGGGTTATGCTACCCTAGGCCTGTTGCAAAGTACAGAATATAATGCCAAATATGATATGGTCACTGTTAATGAGGAAACTTAAAGTCTAATACAGTTCTCAACTCAGCAATAACTGTGGTAAGTGCCATGATGAAAACATTCACATGGTACAATGGAGACCGTGGTTACTTCTATCTGGTAAGGGTCAAAGAGATCAGGAAAGTTTTGAGAGAGGGAGTAACCATTGAATTGAGTTAACTTTAAGATGTTCCTCATGATGTGGAAGCAGAAATGGGAAGGTTTAAGAGGCTGGGGGCCTTACAGGCAGACAGACACATGATAGAAAAGCCAAGGAGTCTTCAATAACTTTGTTTTTCAGAGAACTATAAGCAATATATTATGGCTCAGATGTGAAGTTGGAGGGGGGAAGCTTGATCAGAGGTTAAGTCTGGAAAGGTAAAGAGGACCTATTGTGTCATACTGAGGTATTTTGATTCTATTCAGTAGGTAAAATGAGTTAACTAAAGGATCTAAACAGGTAGTAACATAATCAATTTTGTGTTTTTAGAAGACCATCTAAGTTACAATGAGGAGGATAGATTGAAGGAGTATGAAACTGGATGAGCTGATACAGATTTTGCACTAGTATGAGCATGGGATTTGGGAACCTGAACTGAGGTAGTACGAGAATGAGGAGGCAGAATCAGATATGAAAGATGTTAAGGAGGTAGAATTTAATTAATTGGTGACAGGTTACAAGTGGGAAGACAAAGGGAGAGCATAGGTTGACTAACTTCCATCTGATAGTATGTTGTTGATGCTGCCATTATCTGAGATGGAAACTACAGAAAGAATAGGAAAGATAATGAATTCAGTTTGAGTTTGAGATGCCTATATGAGAAGGGACATGCAGTTGGTGTTGCCCAAAGACACTTGTACTAGTATCTATCCTAATAAAAGGCTAATATGCTAATTAAACCAGGAGACCTTCTGGATGAAGCCATGGTGGCAGGGCCAAGGCAGAGGCAGTTAGGGGTGATCAGGCCAGGAGGGGAGGGCAGTTGGGGGTGATCAGGATGA